TGTCTGAAGATTCGGATCATATTCGTCCGAACTTATCTGATGAAGAGGCTAGGGAAATGCACGATGATGCTCCACACTATGATCCAAATTGTGATCATAAGAGCTTCCAATTTGTGTGTCGGATGAAGTTCGCGAGTCCAGAGCAATTCAAGGAGGCTGTTATTAGACATTCGGTGGCAGCTGGTGCAAGTCTGAGGTGGCTTAGGACTAATCCTAATAGGAGGGAGGTGAAATGTAAGGCTCTGAATTGTAAGTGGAAGTTGTATGCCAGTTGGTTCAGGAAGGACAGGAGCTTCATGATAAGGAAAGTAGGGCTGCCACACTCGTGTTCAAGGCAGCTTAGAGTGAATCAAGTCACTGCTAAGTGGATAGCAAGTGACATGTTGGAAAGATTCAGGATAAATCCTGAATGGGCTCCGAATCAGATAATGGCCGAGGTTAAGCTGAAACATAACATGGAGGTTAAGTACAGAACGTGTTATAGGGCTAAAGTGGAGGCTATCAAGCTGCTTAGTGGTTCATTGGTTGATGAGTACGTTAAACTCAGAAGTTATATGGCTGAATTGAAGAAACGAGATAGAGAAGGTCATTTCATCTTGGAGGTAGACCCACATCCTAATGGCGACAAGGTATTCTTTCAACGAATGTACATCGGGTTCTCCAGTTTGAAGAAGGGATTTCTCGAGGGATGCAGACCAATGATTGCGTTGGATGGATGTTTTCTGAAAGGAGAGGTTAAAGGGATGATTCTGACAGCAGTTGGGAAAGATGGAAACAATCAAATATTTCCTATATGTTGGGCTGTGGTAGAAGGTGAAAACACTAACTCTTGGTGTTGGTTTGTGAAAGCACTAGCTGAAGACCTAACTATGGTTGACGGAAGGGGATGGACTATTATTTCGGATCAACAGAAGGTAACGACCAATGATTGACTTTATTTCAGCTCCTTATTCCTTTCCACTTAATTCTGTATCGCTGACTTTTTTTCTCACTTGCAGGGTTTAGTTGAGGCAATCCACAGCATTCTGCCCGATGCTGAGCACCGAAAATGTGCAAGACATGTATACGCCAACTGGAAGGCCAAGAATAAAACAGATCGGGTTAGGAAGCTGTTTTGGTTTGCCGTGTATGCTTGCAACGAAGTCCATTGGAACCGTTATACAACTGAGCTGGAGGCAATTGAAAAGTCAGGTGATGGTTCTACCCCATACACTGATTTTATGGCTGCTGAACCTCGTCGTTTCTGTCGTGCATTCTTATCATGTTATTTGAAATGTGACTCGGTTGAGAGCAATGTATGTGAGACATGGAATGGATGTATTGTTAAGTATAGGGGTATGAGAATTGTAGACATGTTGGAGGGTATAAGGCAGTACATGATGGATAGGGTAGTGCTTAAGGCAGAAATGTTTGCCAAGTGTACAGACACATTGCCTCCAAGGATTAGGAAAAGAGTTGAAAGGGAAAAGGAAGAGGCCAGGTTATGTGTAGCTAAGCAAACTCTCAATGCAAGGTGTGAAGTAAAGAAGGGGGGTGAAGGATTTATAGTGGATCTGACAGAGTGTAATTGCTCTTGTGGTTACTGGCAACTTAGTGGCATTCCATGCTGCCACGCGGTTTCAGCTATTAGCCATCTAAGAAGGGAAGTGGATGATTATGTGAGTTCATGTTATCACGTGTACATGGCTAGTTTTGCATACAACTATGGGATACCTTGCCTGGATGGTAGGCAAGCATGGCCTGCACCTGAGGGAATCCCTGTTCATCCTCCCAAAATTAGAGCAATGCCTGGCAGGCCGAAAAAGAAAAGAAGAAGGAGTGCAAATGAGGTGGAGGAGACCAGGCCACAAAGAAATGGGGTTGGTGAAGAGGTTACAAGGAGAGGTAATCTCATCCATTGCTCCAAGTGTGGCGGCGAGGGGCACAATGCCAGATCTTGCAAGGCACCCCCAGTTGCCGAAGTTGTGGTGGTGAGATTCATGTTTTATTACTATTTCTTGGATTGAATATGTGCTGTGATTTAAATGTATTTGATTTGGCAGGAGAGAACAACACAGAGGAATGCTCAGCCCCCTGCCACGCGAGAAACAGGCCAGGATACTAGAAGGAAGAGGGTTATCCACTGCTCCAAATGTCAAAGTTCCACACACAACGCAAGGACTTGTCCTCTTAACAGAGGGAATGGTGTACAAGTAAGTGGTTTTAACCTGATGCCAGCATGTATTTGAATTGATTACATTTTACCTAACCTAACTAAGTTTATGGTTATATAGGACGTGATAATCAATGTTGGTGACAGAAGAACAATTGAGAGGGAATTGCGAATTGCTACATCTGGAGTTGGCGTTTATGTGAATGAAAGGACAGGGAACCAGTATGTTAGGGTGTGTTTCCAACCTGTCTTCTAGTTGTAATAGGTCGATTATATGTATTTGAATTGCTACTAATATGTTTGTTTGTTACTCATTTCAGCTTAACGGAGCTGCTGGGAGGCCAGTTGGTGGACCTCAGCCAACTGTCGTGGACCTGCATGGAAGTCAGCCACCCCCTAGTCAGCCTTAGACTTAGGCAGCAAGTTATTAGACTTAAGTCCTCTTTTGTGTAACGTTGCTATATAACGACGGTTACTTGATCAGGAAGCAGTTCTTAGCATATTAGGCAGCAAGTTAATTTTAGCTATTGCAGACAGCTTGTTAGCTGCAGGTGTATTATTACTCTATTGAACACCTTTTTGATGTGAACACACTTTTAGCTATTGATGTGTATTATTACTCTATTGACAGCTTGTTAGCTGCAGGTGTATTATCCCAGGTGTATTACATACATTTGCATACATTTGCCTAAGCTTACACAACACAGAATACATACACACACAACATCCTTAGACACACAGAATGCATACACACACAATATCCTTACATTTGCCTAAGCTTACACAAAATAGCTTACACACACAACATCCTTACATTTAAAGCTTGCATACAATGCCAACTACTACAAACCAGATTCTGGCCTCCAACTAAGAACAACCAAAATAGCAAAGATAAATACAGCACCAGTCAACAAATATCGATTGATGCGAACATCATCATCCAATCTCCTAACACGCATTGCCATAACCTCATGAGCAAGCATTAATCTACTTAGTTCTTCGGCCATCAATTCTTTTTCCTTCTTCATCTTCTCTACCTTCCTTTCTACTAGCATCAGACTCTCTTCCAGATTCTGAATAGAACCCATTTCATTAGTCCATGAGCCAGTTTCACCATCATTTGATTCCACCCACCGAAAAAAGCGACAATTTTTTTTCCTATCCTGCAGCAAAATAATCAGCATGACTGTCGAATAGGTAGGTAAAAAACAATTGGGTCACACAAAGAATGTATTGCTTACCTTCCAATAAGGACAACCGTAGAATTGTCGCCCTGGGTTCGTAGAAGTACCCGAAGTTTTAAGAACACAGGGGACGTTGTGCTCGCATCGAACGACACTCCTATTATTGGTGCTTGCTGATCCGGAATCGGCAACATTGAAATCCACCTTCTTTCCAGACCTATTCGACATGGATGCAACTGTCGGAAACAGAGATGAAGGAATGGCTAGGATATTGGTGTATTTAAGCTGGAAGGAAGGGATTGAAGATGGAGGGAAGGGATTGAAAATGAGAAGGAGGGGTAGAGAGGAGGTCTCGACGGCAGTGAGGAGTTGGGGTAGAGGGGAGGTCTCTACGGCAGTGAGGAGTTGGGGTAGAGGGGAGGTCTCGACGGAAGGGATTGATGCTGAAATGGAGGCGTCGACGGCAGTGGGGAGTTGGGGTAAAGAGGAGGTATCGACGGAAGGGATTGAAGATGAAGGAAGAAGGGATTGAAAATGAGAAGAAGGGATTCAAAATCAGTCTCTGCTCTGCGATAGGGAACCCTAGAAAATAAGAGAGGAAGGGGATTAGTCGACGATGGCGATGAAGGGGAGAGAGACAGAGAGTTAAATAATTTTTTTTTTTAATAAGAAAATTAAAAAAAAATCCGATGTGGCGTCCACGTGGCTAACTCCATCCGGTTGGCGTTGACGTGTCATCCATTTGGCAGACAGATCAGCAAAAAGTCCACTTCACTGACGGAGGCGTTAACACCGTCAAATGTTTTATGTAAAATGGCTAGATTAGTCTACAATGTTTGAAAAGTGTGGCTACATCTGTGTATTATTCAAAAAGTGGCTATATTTGTCAAAACCGTGAAAGTTATGGCTACACGGGTGAATTAAACCTATACTTTAAAATCCCTCAACCCCATAATCCAACACCAAAAAAGACCAACCAAACAAGCTACTTTGAACTAGAATCAACTTATTGACGGATTTGGTGCAACAATCCACCACTTTCTCGGAAACTTACATATCACCAAGGTTGTCAACTTGCGGGTGAGAAAAACAGGCCGCACGCACCCGTCGGGTCGACCGCTACAAATGTTCACACACTTATATAACTCAATCTTTGGAATCCTAAGTTGAACATTTGAATATTGATGTTATATAAGTGTGTGAATTTTCACTATATGTTGTATCTAAGTGCGACATGTTATTTTGATGGAATATTATATGTTATAATTCATATGTTAGATGAGAATTTATATAATTTATCAGGATAAGTACAATATAATGACTCTTTTCATATTTCCTGGCTAAACCGAGTGACCCATTAACCTTTGACTCACTAGTTCGACCGGGTCCTGGTGAACCCGCGAGTTGACAACGTTGCATATCACATATATTCCATTTGAAATACACATCCAAACAACCCTTAAAATAATTTTAGCCCAAGTGTCCGAAAATAGATATAGAGCAAACAGGCCAACATCCCAATAACACATTCACTACCAAGACCAGAAATCTACCAGAAGACGCCGCCGCAAAATCCCTTCTCGAAGACCAACTCCGCCGCATACCAGCTCCGCCGCAGCTAGCAATGGATCGCCAGAGGTAATGAGATCTGTTAATGAGATCTGTTATCCACTCCACAATAGCACCGAGGTTACAGTTAATGAGATCTGTTAAGAGCGCCGAGAAGGGAAATCCACTCCCCACTGGCAACGACTCGTTTTAATTCATATGATTCGCAACACCTAGGGTTCGAGGTTAAGCTAGATCCGTTGTGAGCACCGGGAAAGGAAATTCTGTCCGATGAGAGTGCCGGGAAGGAAAATCCACTCGCCACTGGCATCAATTAGTTTTATTTCATTAAGAGTTCAGTTAGATGCGTTAAGAGCGCTGGAAAGGGAAATTCTGTCCGATGATTAGAGAAAGGATGGTTATAGGGGTGATTGAATGCTTGGTAATTATTATAATTCTTGCAGACTGGAGGTGATTATAGAGGCTGTGAAGTGGAGATGAGTTAGTAGGAGAACTATTAGATAAGTTAAATCTGATTGAATGCTTGGTAATTATTGCAATACTTATAGAGTGAAGGGAAGTTTAAGGTATTGCCCGAATTGTCTGGAGCGAAGGAACAGGCACATTCCCGATCACATTTGCCGTGCTGCCAATAGCAAGACGGTTCTTGCTGATGTTGTCAGAGGTGCAGGGGGTTCAAAAGATCAGATTAAAGCTATCATGGATGGAAGAATCCCAGAGGACGCCAGAGAGGGGGCATTAGGAGAGGCGATAGCAAAAGCAGCAGCAGCAGTTTTTGCTAGGGCTGGCGCAGCATAATGACAGGTTTTCATTCGAATCTATTGCTGTCAAGTTTTACCTGCAAAATTCATTAAATTCATTATCAGAGCTTAAAAGTAGCAAAACTGAACTTTTGGCCATGCTCTACTAACTAAACAAACTCATTGAACTTGGTAGCAGAATCCTTATATGAAACAGCAGTGTAAACTTGCTTCAGTAGCCAAAAAAAGTCAAGTGTTTAGAAGTTTAGAAGATGCTTGTATAAACGAACTAATTGAACTTTGAAGCAGAATCCTTATCTGAAACAGCACTGTAAACTTGCTTCAGTAGCCAAAAAAAGTCCTAGTGTTTAGAAGATGCTTGTATAACTCAATGTCCACATTATCAGCGGAATGAACGATTTGATCAAAACAACCGGAAATGGAAGTTTCAACTCATGATAACCATAAAAACCAGACATTAGCATCTAAAAATAGCATGGAGGCATCAGAGAAAGACAAACAACCCAAAACAGATTGATATGGTAGATGTTAGGACTTACAATATAGAATCTCTTGCTTCAATTTAAGAGAAGAAAATAAGTACCGCCATCTTTTTAGGGATTTGCAAGTTTCGTCCTTGATCGACATTGTGATATCCTACAGAAGTAACATCAAGCCATAAAAACTATGTTCACAAATACCAAAAGCATCTAAAACTATAGTAATTCTCTTGTCAAAACAGCATGATTAGACCATTCCATACGTAAGGTTAGATAAATAAAAGATTGGATTACCTGATGGAACGCAGATATCAACTTCAATATGGAGCTCTGATAGCACCTAAAACATCAGCAAATAATGTGAGGTACAATTATCATCTCACCAATCAAGACAACTGAACAGCTATCTGGAGACAAAAATAGTCTTCTAAGCACACTACGGAATCAGAATAATCAGACAAGCTCCTAATCCAAATTTTGAGAGATTAGGGTTACAGACTATGAGTTACCTGTCGAGTCCCATCCCTGTGATAATGCACTATTTTGAAGCGCCAAAACACAGGAATGACCATATGTCACTTCCCTGTATGCAAAAACCATTCAGTGATGCTGAAACAACACTTGTAAAAATTCAAATAGCCATTGTAATAGATTAAAACGGAAAAGCAAACCTTGTGTACAGATCAAGATACAAATGCCCCAGAACTCAAGTCAAAGGCTGAAAAGACACTAACATCTGGATGCCAAACCTCAGCATTCCCAATTTCCTCAAGTCTTAATACTGTATACAGCCAAGAAAATTGTGGCTATTTTAGGCAAATTAACTTATTTGGCTGGAAATCATAGGCTTGACAAAAAACGAAAAAAAGAGGAAGATTTGCTTGCGAATGTGGGTACCAAAGAGATCTTGGATCACTTTGAAGATGCCAGATAGTACCAAATCCACAGGTTAGAACTGTTTTAGAGCTTTGAAGTCTAGGTCAAAGTGCTTTGCCTCGGACCTCTTGATATAATACAATAGATCCTCAATTCCAAATGGGATATCTCATGCTCATTCTTCTGGTCCGTCAATATTGTGCAAGCAATGAAAATACAACGAAATCAAAATTAAGTAGAAGATAAGCATACATACAACAATTGGACGAAAACTGCTTACCTTTATGTCCTTCAGAATGGAGAGTTCCCTAGTAGCCAAATGTGTCAAACTGCCAGAGATATCTTCCAAGAAATCAAATACCTTACACAAAAGGAGTAAGCAAGCATCAAGTGAAGTGAAGTGCTATGGACAGGAGGAATAGTAATTTAAGCACTCGCCATGAACATAAAGAAACATATTTAGAAAGGATAAGATTTTTCGGCCAAAATATCTCTATACATGCAAGCCACAGAATCCAGGTAACATCAATTGAAAAGCATGCCCTATACTTGTAAAAGATATCTCACCATCTCGAATGAATGAAAAACACCAGCTATAAAACTGAAAGACAGGTTTTTTCAGACGAAGTTTTCTAAATGACAAAGCAAATGTTCACAAGCCATTTTTCTAAACCGAAAGATAGATTATAACAAGTAATCTCACTTATATAAAATGGGTACCCGTTATACCCATTCAAAATACAAATGGTAGCCTTCAAATTTTAATATGTGGCGGATGAGCTGCTTGTTATAATTCCTGTTTTGGTGTTGAATTGATTTATTATGGGAAGACATGGACAATTGGTGTTTCGGTTTTGCACTTCAGTAATGATATAATTAGAGCCCATAATTAAGTAGGCTAATTAAGCTTGTTGGTGGGCTGTGCACCTAAATCTGTTTGGAAGTCTTTAAGTTACCTGTTCCCGGCCCCTCCCACTGATTTGGAAGTCTTTAGGTGCTGTTGTGCTGTGTTTTTGTACTAATTACTCCTTTTGTTTGCTTTCCCTTTAATTTGTTGATAATTGCCAGTTGCAAAGCGTCAGGGGGTCAACCGGATTGCAGTCTGCAAATTGGAGCAGGCGGATTGCAGAATGGCAGCATCTTCCCATGTCAATTGGAACTATCGAATGGATCTTGATTCTTGACTTGAACAATTAACAGCAGCAACCAACAGCTTTACAGTTGTTATGGATGCTAGGAAAGCTTTATTTCTATGCGTTGTGATTGTTCATGAATTTGTAGTTTGCTAACCGAGTATTTGTGATTGTGTGATTGGGATGGATTGTCGATTGTTAAGCAGGTACAAGTGAAGTTTAAACTTTTGTTAAAATTTTAGTGATTCAAACTTTGGGTATTTATGGGTAGTCAACCAGCTAAAATCTAACCTTATGCTGGAAAATTGAGAGAAATTGGGACTTACCTCAATGGCAATAATGACTCCAGTCACCACAGGAACCGAAGTGAGGTATGTGAGCCCAGCCTCCCTCTTGAGAGTCATCACATAAGCAAAGACACGATGAAGAACAGGGTAAGGGTGCTGACAGCCTGATTAAAGCACACCGGAAGGAAGCGGAGGAAGAATGTTCCCAAACACCATCGTTATCTAACAAACACCCATTGAAAACAAAGCTTCAGCTTCTAATTACGATATATAATCTCATTAACAAAGCGGAATGACATCAGCTTCAATCGTTAATGTAAGGAACTGCATAATCGATTGATATAGGTGGTGAGCTATTGGTCTTGTGAAAATAAGAGAAGTTTACAATAGATTTAGAATCGCGAGTTAAAAGGAAGATAAAAATCAAATACGAACCCAGCTAAGAAGGAAATACCTCGGTAGAGCTGTCAGTCCCAATTGAAGCGATCGAAAGAAGTGTATCACGAAGAAGAATTGGTCGAACTGCAGCCTGCAGGTATGGATAATCGATTGACGTAGGTGAGCTTGTGGTCTTGAGAAGAAGGAGAAATCATGCGAAGATAAATGAGGAGAGATGAACAACTATCTCTGGAGAAACCGCTCGCACTGCCAGCGAAAGACCAAAAAAATTCCCCGACTCAGTAGAGGTGCAGGCGATGCCGAGGAGGACAGTCGGTTGCGGGAATCACACACAAACAAACACCACCTAATCACTTTTAACCATAAAGCTCGGTTCTTTACCATCAGAGACAAAATCCCAGCAGAAAAGATATACATACCGGGATCGGACAGCCGTATATGGAAGAAAGAGTACATCGGATACGCCGGAAGGGAGGAGAGCCATCTTCAACTAGACCATATCAATATCAAATAACAATCGATTAGAGAGGAGTATTGAAAACGTGAAACTGAATATTATTATTCATATCTACAAGCACAGATCTAGACTTGTAACCACAAGATCTCCATCCACAGATACATCCATATGAAGAAATCTACAAAAACGGAGTTTTGAGAATCAAAGCTTGCATCTTTGAGAATTATACCTCCATAGAATAAAAGAAGACCGGCGATCTCCATAGATTAAGAGGACCCGCAACCTCCATAGATGAAGAGAACCGGCGACGGCGACCGAGGAGACAGTGGGACGTCGAGCAGGCTGGAAGAGGAGAAGGTCAACCGGCAAGGGGCAGGGGAAGAGGGGCGGATTTTTCAGAGAAGGGGGAACAGGGGAGAAGGAGAGCGAGAGAGAGATAAGAGATGGAATCTCTGACTGCGGTTTCTGAACTAACGGAAGGGTTAGAGAGAGAGACGTACTTGGCTTTAGACTAGGTCTGTATTAGATTTTCCCCTTAAATAGTATTTTCCTTTTTTTCTCGCCTTTTTACCATTCATCCCCAGTTTAGTAATTTAAGAAAAAATATAAATTAACAAGGAGTTTATTATCTAATAATCTATAAAATATATAAAGACTTTTCCAATAACCACCTTCACCGTTTCAAAAATCCAGCCCTCATACGCATCCACATCGGCACCCTTTCCACCAATCAGATTTTTTCTTAACTTCCCTTTCCACCAATCAGATGTTTTCGTAACTTCTTTTTTTCTTTTCATTATAATTTTTCTTTGTAGTTATTTTGTACTCCAATTAGATTGTGCCACTTAACACACACTCTCTCTCTTATTTTTCAATCATCATACTATTCTTATTCTATCCATATTTTTTCCGCTTCAACTCCGAATTTAAATATTGTTGCGCAAAAAAAATCAGATTTTATGTGATCTACTCAATGATACCCATTTTGATATAAGTTGGATTTTTTTTCTTTCAAAAACATTATCACAATCATATATTCACAAGTTACTCTCATATTCGATAGTTGCTAAACTATATCAATATCATTCGATTCTATCGTCATAAAACAAATTTCTTATTCTAATGATTTACTAAATTATATCAATGTTTAAATTTTGTACTATCATAATAATAATGCACAACAATTTCATGGGTGTTAAAATATTGTCGTGCGGTACAAACTAAATTACCTTAAAGAAAAATTACTTTCGGCCAATTGATCAAGCTCAAAGGTACACATGATTCGGGATGAGAGACGTCAATGATAGCCTGAACAAAATAGACAATGTAAGAGAAAAAATATTCCATAAAACATATTTCAAACAAAATTTACCCGGCCAACGGACCGGGTACAAAGCTAGTACTAACTTATGACGAAATCAGTCAGGTTCTCACACAAAAAAAATCAGTCAGGAAATGAGACAAAAGTCAAAAAGACATAACAATAATAATAACACTGTTTTATGATTATCTAATTTACTTTTGTTACTTTTGGTACTACTATGATTTATTTTATTTTAATTTTCTTTTTACTTCTCGACTTACTTTTCTTTTTACTTCTCGACTTACTTTTTGCGTACGTTCGTACGTCAATAGGGCTGAAAGTTTTATACCGGTATTTAGGATATATCAAATACTGTATCAAAATTATCATTATTTGATATTGCAGAATATTGATAAATTTCTTAGAGATTGAGATTCATTTTCGAGTGATTTTCGAGATTACAGGATTAGGCAGAATTACTGAAAATGCATCATTAATGAATATAGCACAAAAACTTTGGTCATTCCTCAATTCTCACCCTTTCACACTTAGAAGCCCCCATCTAACCAAAGTTTAGCTTTCCAGTTTAAGTCAATCTCATCTCAAATCTAATATATTTTGATTTTCATTACACAAAAAAACAAACACTAGTATATTAGTTGTCTCTTAGTCTCCAATTTGCCGAATTAAAGAGTACCAATGACAAGAACTTGAGATTATGGCTGGGAAACGGTGCAGTCTGGTCCAGACTGGATCACATATACGGTCTCAGTCCGGACCGAGAGGCTAGAGTATAGACCACATACCAGACCACATAGTATACGGTCCAGACCAAACCACGTCGATGCGGTCTGACCTGATCCGATACGATCTGGTCTGGTCCAAATAGACCATATTGAACAAAAAAATTAACAATTTGTTTACTCAACAACATGCAAAATTGAACCAATAATGGGGGAACATGTTTTTTTTTCCTTAAAACATAAATTACAATATGCATGAATAATTTTGATACCCTAAATCTTAGTAAATATAAAGATACAAAGTTAAAGCATCTCAACTTGCACAATAAAGTCATATACGTTAACATAAAGTCATGTGGAGACACGATCGTCTCTACTCTCTAGTGAAATGTGGTTGTGAATAAAAGAGGGGAAGGATTCTCAAAATTGGGGTTGAGATTTAGGTCTCGTCGAGGAAGTTGAGAGAGTGGGTTGCTAACACGTATTGAAAAGTCAGTTTGGCCCGGTAAACCGCGGTCTAGACCAGCCCAAAAAATCATATAATACAAAGCATGGACCAGACCATTTTTAACGGTTTACAGTCCGGACCAAACTGTACGGTCCGGTTTGGCCCACGGTTTTTCAAACGGTCTGGTCTATTTTCCCATCCCTATTTTAGATGTCACCTCTCCGCCCTTCTCCTTATCCATGTCCTAGCTCTAGACAAACTCAGCACACTTTACCTGATCTCTTTGCCCTAAATTAGACAACCAAATTTAATTTCGTATATTTAATTATTAATTGGAAAGGTAATTAATTTTGTATTCTATTGTCAATTGGGATACCAAAATATTTAGCAATTTAAATTGAGATATTGAATTTATTTAGGTATTAGAATTGTGATTGATTTTAGAGTCTAATTTGGTATTTGATATCGAAATACCGATATCGTACTAATTTCCAACTCCACTCTTCATAGTGAGAGGGTAAGGCCGATCTGAATGAGGTCAGATGGAGGAGAGAGGTCTCACGAAGTAGTTCTTGGGGAGGTGAAGAAGTAATTTCACCAAAAAAAAAAAGGTTAGAGTTACATTGGAATAAACAAAAAGAAAATGAGATGTTTTGAAGGGAAAATGTGGGGGATCAACTATTTTTGTATTTTGCTTATGTGGATTTTAAAATATCACAAATACAAATCACTCATTTACGGAGTTATTCTCAAAGTATATTCCTGTAAAAATCAGATAGAATGAAAAATTGTGGTAAAATTTGTGATTGAAATTTCACATCTATACCAACCAAATGGGTATTACGAATGGGGGATTCGACTTTCAAATTAGAGGTTTTTGTACAATCCCTCATTCTACGAGATTTTGGCAAAATAATTCATTCAGAAAGACGGAAAATTATGGGCGTGAAAGATTTTAAATCTCACAAGTATAGGTTATAATTAAAACAATTCACTTCATTTCAAAAAAAATTTCTTTCCTTCTTCCTTCACCACTCTCAACTGCTCCCCCATTCATAAGAAGAGTGAGTCGAGAGGTCATCGGTGTAGCAGGGTAGCTGCCATATTGGAGAAGGCACATCCTCACCGCCAACCCCTGTCGCAGCTCACTGAAAATCGAATATGGTTTTGACCATCTTAAGGGAAGTTAAAGCTTGAGAGGGTATCATCCTTCTGCATTCTCACTACCGGATTTTTTCCTGTGACTATTAGTATACTCTTTAACATAGGAGACGTTCTCGTGAATAAGATATCGTGATTAGAAATCAGTTTTCCTAACATTAGCTAATAACATAAATTAAAGTTTGGAGTGTTACTAATTTGATGGTTGAGGAAATATGTTGCAAAACCAGAGAGTATTAAATAATTGTACATTAATATGTTTTTAACAATGCTGAACAATTAATTGAAATAACATGTTAACTTTATTCCATAGTTCATCGTTCCAATCGGGTCACGGGTCAATTAGGTTCGGGTTACGTGTTAGTCGGATTATGGGTTCAATTGAATTACTGATAAATTGGGTTCGAGTAATTAGTTGGGTTACGTGTTGGTCGAGTTACGAGTCGATTGGGTTACGGGTCAAGCGGGTCTGGATTAATCGGGACCAATCGGGTTGCAAATCGAGAGGGTTTCAGATTATTGATTTTTAGTCAACTCGAGCTGTTTGCAGCTCAAATTAATCTAAGGAATTAGTCGGATCGGGCTATGTGTTCGCATCTACCCAATTTAACCCAACGTCATCCTCAAAAAAGAGTATTATTTGTATTTGAGACAAAATATATTCGGCCCCAATGTTAATTTCCTGGTATTTTACTAACTTAATTATTTATATATTTTTGCACGATGAAGAGGTGAGGGGACCAATATTAGAGAGAGAGAAAGAAGTGACGTCTCTGAGAGGAAGATAGGGTTGAGGGAGTTGCTAGATTCTTCTGTCTGTCCAGTCTTTTCACATTTAAACTCTAAAAAGGTTAAGCTAAAAAAAAAGGTTTACGATTTACTTTGTTTTTTTACTTTTGCTTGTCGAATCCCATGTCGTCCTTTCTCGGTTATGCTCCGCCACCGCTCTCTTCGATTCCAATTGTACGACGACATAAGATGAAATAAGGGAAAAGTGATAATAATAATAATAATAACAATAATAAAATACTCTATTTGTTCGATTTTCTTTGGTCTTCTTTCCATCATTTTAGCACATTCAGGTTTTATTTAGGCGTGGTTGATTTACGGCGTGGATTCACTGAATTCGTAAATTTTATAGAAAATTTTGTTTTTTTGTTAGTTTTTTATTGTGGATTTTAATTTTAAATATTTCAAATCTCTAAAATCTACATATATAAAATCTCTCATAATGAAAGAGATTTTGTATTTTGATTCGTGAGATTTTTTTTCTCCTACTTTTCATCTTCATTTCATTTATTTTGTCACATTAAATATGTTTGTCAATGTGTCTCGAACCACTCTAATTTTTTTTAAGGATAAACATGTTATTTATAAAATTATTTTTTTATTCTTAATGAATGTTAACAATCACAGTTATCAAACAATAAATATTTTTAAATCTATTTTCGACAATCCGAAGAGTTAGAATCTTTAGATTATTAACAATTTATGAATTTAAACTCATATTCTCCAAACGAGCCTTTAGTTAAAAATTAGTGATACAATCCAACGCTTGTGTGGGATGTTAGTTTTCCCCCCTCGACAATGAGGTTATTCTTACTTCTTATAAGAGGTTGTGTTGGATGATGAGTTTTGAAACAATGGGATTTTGACCACAATATCTTAGCTTAAAATTTTCATGTGTGAAATTTCACCAAATATTTTGTCTGTTTTTATGGATATGGGTTATCAATGAAAAAAAAAGTAAGTATAATCTTTTGCTCTAGCTTCCTCTTCTTCTTTCTCTTGAGCTTAGAATTTATTGAGTAAAATTGTTTCAAGA